GCCAGGGGTAGAAACCAGAATTCTAGCAACTGCTTCTATAAAACCAAAGAGAATTTTCTTAACTTCATAGCATCTCTGTGTATTTTTTTGTACCTATCATGTATAAACATTAAACTTGAGGACCTCTAAGCTCTCTTCTAACTTGAAAATATTAATATTCTACAGTTATTTTCTCTTACTCTGACAGCCAAATTCTCCTTCAGTGAGTTGGTGAAGAATTCTCTCCTACTGATTGCTATCGACCGCTGGCACTGCCTTCCACAGAGTCTAGCCAACTCCTCTATACTTGCAGCATTTTTTTTTTCAATTGAGATCTATGCTTTTGTAGTCTTTCAGAGTAGGGATTTCTTAGAGCTAGATAAGGAAGAAGATCCACGTGCAGTGGCACATCCCTGTAATCCAGTGGCTTAGACAGGAGGATCACAGTTTGAAACTTAGTAAGTCTTAAGCAACTTATCTAGACTACATTTCAAATAAAACATTAAAAAAGGGCTGGTGATGTAACTCAGTGGTAAAGTACTCCTGGGTTCAATCGTTAGTACTATATATATATATATATATATATATATATATATATATATATGAATGAATGAGAGAGGGGGGGTGAACTGAAGTAGGAGATTTTTTTATCAGAAGTGCTCAAAAACATCCCCTCAGTTGCTAATTAGGCAGCCTGAGTACCTAATATGTATTGAACAGCCCAGAGGAGACACCCCCCACTCAAGGTCACCTCTTCTCACAAGGTTTCTTCAGTTTGTGAGAACTCAGAAATAGTTTTTTTTTTTTTAAATTCAAATAATCCCAAGGGTGAAGAAATACACTGTAATCTTTAAAAAGCAATAGGTGGCTTTGTACACTTTTTGACCAAGGATGAAAAAAGAGTAAGAAAACAGAAAAAAAAAGTTCCTGGTGACTGTTCCTGAGATAGGAAGGACTCAGTAGATAAGGTGCATAGCTACACAACAAAAGATTATTTCCTTTTTACTTTTTAAAAATAATTCTGAGTAGGAAATTTCACACCTATTAATAAGAATACTGGGACAAGTAGAGAATGCTGGTTCATCCTGAAAGAAAAGAGGTTAAGAAGCACTTCTATGCCCAAGGGCAACTCTAGAAAAATCTTAGCTTAAACCATATCTAGGTGTCTGCATGTTGGAAGGGGACTGCCACCCTTATCATCTGAGCCATGCCTCGACTCGTATCGCAGACTGACACAAAACACTTGGTGGTATGAATGAGTTTGCATGTTACACAAGAACATAATTCTTCTTCCTTTACTCAAAAATGCTTAGAAAGAACTGGTTCCTGTACTTTATGCCATATTATTTATACATTTTATTTGTATTTTCAAAGATTAGAAAAATAATTTTTAGGCTGCTGACACATGCCTGTAATCCCAGCRGCTTGGGAGGCTGAGACAGGAGGATTATGATTTCAAAGCCAACCTCAGCAAAAGCGAGGCATAAGCAACTCAGTGAGACCCTGTCTCTAGATAAAATACAAAACAGGGCTAGGGATGTGGCTCAGTGGTCCAGTGCACCTGAGTTCAATCTCAGGTACCAAAAAAAAAGTTTTACATTGTTTTTCCCTAAATAAGTCATTTTATGGAYCCAGAGAATATTATAAACCTTCATGTACATCATCTTAATTTCTCTTGGGGTTATATTGACATTGGGTCTGAAAGAGAGAGATTGCTTTTCATATTTGAAAGGATAACTGAGATCTGTTCACATTATGCTAAAGACATCCTTGGATCAACTTCATTTTCATTAGGGAAAAATGGGTTCCCGATGCTAATGAAAACATTAGATGTTATTAGTACATGGACTCCATACAAGGGCACTGTGCAACCAGGTGCTTGGGTATACGAGTAGTTCAGTCACATACAGGAATAGCACTAAAATGAATAATCTTTAACAATTCTATGCTGGCCTTCTGTCTTAGACTGTTTTGTTCTGCTCAGACCGGGTAATAAACAAAAATTTATTTTTCACAGTTTTGGAGGCTAGGAATAGGAAGCCCAAGATCAAAGTATTATCATCTAGTTTGGGATTTTTTTTGTATCGGGGGAACCAAGTGGGCCTTAAACACTGAGCCACATCCCTAAACCTTTTAAAATTTTATTTAGAAATAGGGTCTTACCTAGTTGCTGAGGCTGATTTTGAACTCATGATCCTTCTGCCTCAGCCTCCCAAGTTGCAGAAATTACAGGCATGTACCACCACACCAAACTAGTGTGGGCCTTCCTGCTGCATCCTCATGACAGAAGGCAGAAGGGCAGGGCAGCATTAATCCATTTAAGAGGACAGAGGCCTCATAACCTGAACAAGTCCCAAAAAGGTCCCTTCTTCCAGTACAATTGCCTTGGGGGTTAAGTTTCTAACAAATGAATTTGAGGGGTCACATTCAGATGATAATACCATCCAAATTATAACTAGAGATGGTACTGTGAATCAGAATAACTAGATAAATAGTTTTAGATAATTGTTATCCAAAGCATATGATGGAGTTTCAATGATAATATATATGATAGTTTAATGATAATATAATATCCTCAGAGCTAAATTATGCAAGTCAATCATTCATACATTGAATGTATAAAGCATAGTATTTGAGCATAGTTATTTCAAAAGAACATCCATTTGTGTGTAGAATCTATAATAATTAATATAATTCCAAAGACACTCTTTTTTATAAGTGCTATTAAGTAAAAAGCAAAATTAAACATTTAAAAACCCTCTTTCATTTACTTTGATCATTTTGAAACTCAATTTCAGATACAGAATAGAGTATTTCACAGTGAACACAATAATATTAGGGAATTCTCCAAATGAAGACTCCAGGATATATTTGATTTGTTTTATAAGATATTATACAAACATATCAAAATCTGTTATACATGCAAATAAAGCTGTTAATTATTCTCCAATGCTTTCCTTTAAAATTTTAAGAATTCATATATAATTTGAAACCTGCAACTGAAGTACCTTCATTTTTCAACTCTGATTAATAGATTCTCTTAATAATCTTAATGCAAATTTGTCTGAAATTAAAGCATTCAATACTCCAAGAACAGATCTGAACTATTTGTAGACTAACCAAGGATAATACATTTCAATTCAGGTAAGATCAGAAGAGAACACCACATTCCTTATTGAAAAGTTCTCCCAGAGTATACAAAAGAATACGGTCTCATGAGTGTTCCCCAACTACAGATGTATTACAGACACAGGTACATGATACCTTAACTTAAACCATGGTATTAAAATTATATACTATAGCACTTGTTTTAAATTAAATGTTGTGCATGTTTTTTCTGATATGTTGATTATTAATTCTGAAAGTAGTTGCATTTTATACATATATATGGATATGAGAAAGGGAAAGTTATCCTTACACAGTAGAACATAACTATTGCCAGAAACCTAACATGCATCAAAGTGCCAGAGCAAAAGGAAAAAAAAATGTCTGTATACATGCCAGGACTCCAATATAAGAAGTAAATATCACCATGATCCCCAAACAAAGATTGTTGATAAGGGAAGAGGGAAGAGGTCTGTTTACTCCTTGGTCTATTTCAATCCCTAAACACAGACAGGTAGTGTTCCAATACAGCCTAGGACAAGCTATTCAGCTGGTTTCTAGTTACATGCATTTTATACAAAATCATTACTATATGAACATCCATAGGAACCTAAGAGTTTCTCATATGCTGTTCCAAGGGAAAACTATTACAGACACAAAAGGAATCTGTTATAATCATATACTATCATAATACCATTTGGTCTATAAAAAGCATACAAATAAATTATGAATCATGCTAAATGAGGCTTTTATCTTGTTTCTCTTTGATGAAATTCATTAAGTGATTTTTTGTTAATCTTTTATGTTAAAAAGCTTTATAATAGCATTTTACATAGTACTTCAAAATATTTAGAAAACATACAGAGTAAAAATAAGATTCTGGGATCCTTAAGCAGGTGTAAAGAAGACTAAAAGAAATCAAAKAAAAATATGACAAGTAAGCAATGAAGTAGATAAAATGCTTATGTGATCAGGCATATCTACAATTACCTGATTATTATTCTGAAATGTGTTATATTTCATAAGTGTAGTTATATTTTTGATTATTTTCACTTAATGGAAAACTGTGTAGTTTACATATTTTTCTTGGTTCCATATTGTTTGTAGTTTCACAGGAACATAATTAACAAAGTAATTATCAAGTAAGTTTTCAAGAATATGTCTTGATCAAAATTTCATTTATAAAGATGGTAAATAATTTCCAAAAAAGTACACTACCAGAAATCATTGCAATAAGTAATTGTTAGGCCCATTTTCTACTTTTTTTTTTAACTTTTCTCACTCAAAAAAGTTAAATATGAGAGCTGCATTGCATGTTTCCAACAACAAGCCTAACTATAGATGCCTGTCAAGTCAGTGTCAACAAAGCCAATCCCTTCAAAGGACAAAGGTATCTGATTAAGTAAGACTTGTAAAACAAACCGCTCTGCCCAACTGATAAGCTCTCTCCTGAGCTCCTGTTTTCTCCCTTTAAAAAGGGGGTTATATTAATTACAAGGACACTTACCTGGTATACCCCAGAGATAGCCATTCCTGATTGCAAGTAAAAATTCCACAGGTAGAGACAAAAATCAACATTTTGCTAATGTTAGAAAAGGTCCAATATGAAAACACATTGGAAGGTGGTTGCACAATTTCTCCAGCATGGTATGGGAGATTAAATTTTTTTTTCTTACTTTCCACTGAACTTATGATTCTCTGTTGGTCAAGATACTGGACACAACACAGACAGCATGTGTGTTCTCCATCAGCAACCCCAACCTCCTTTCCCCACCCTCATAGAACACCTGGAAAATACAATGGGGGCATGCGTGCTTGCGTGTGTGAACACGCACACACTCATACACACAGAAACAGAGCTCTCAATACTGCTTAAATTTCTGACTGGGAACATTTCATAGGCTATTGGCACTTACCTTGCAAAGATGTGTTAGGCAAGCTTGCTTGATTCTCTCCCATTTTGTTATTTCTTTTTAAAGGAAGCCAAGCAGTTTCAAGTTGTGTCAGTTACCCTGCAAGCTTGTGACCTTCTGACTTTCTACTGTAGTATTGTAACAGTATACTACCTGCTTTCTTCTGTGAATAATTACCATTCTGCTTCCCGTATTACCTGGGCTTGCAGGACCTGTTTGACTATGAAGTGAGATCACATCCTTTGATCCAGCGTACTCCTATTAATGCGTGTTTCACAAAACATGGCTTTGTTTCAGTTTTGATATTAACTTTGAATCTTTGAATTCCGTACTTTCACTTCAGTCCAGAAATGTGCTGATATTTTTCTCGAGTGTTGATATGACCAACACACTGGGCTTCAGAGCCAGAGTTTTGTTTCTCTGGTTCCTCTTAGAGAAACTAAATAAAATTTAACTAAATTATTCACCATCCTTTTTTTTTTTTTTTTTTTTTTTAGTATAGGAAAACAACAGTCTGGGTGAGAGTCCACTCCATGCAGCTGTGTAAAGGCTGACTTTTGAAATCTCTTATTCTTACTGAGTGACAATCACTTGTTTGAGAATTGGTTTCTTGGACCATAAGATAGAATAATATCCATTTCAAAAGATTAATATGAAGATTAACCACAATAATGTGTGGCCTGTCCTAAAGATTGTGAATGATATAAAACAGACAGCATTTTCTATTTCCTCCTCTTTCTGTTCCTCCTTTGTCTTATTTCTTCTCTCCTTCCTTCTGTTCTTTTCCCAGTAAGAAGAAAGTATGCTAAACTGGAGCACCGATGTCATGGACTATGCTCTGACATCAGTTGTGCTGTTTATTAACTTAAAACACATAAAGTGATTATTTACTCCCATCTTGGAGGGTCTCAATATCCTAATCCATAGAAGGATAATACTGATATTTGCATAGGAACAAGGTGAGTATTAAATTAGATTAACTTTATGCCTCAAACAAAAATAATCTCTAGTGAAAAACAGACATGAATTGGAGATTTATCTTTGAATGTTAATTTTTATGTTACAGAAGATCACAAAATTAAGGTGATTTATTTAAGTTTTGTTTACCATAAGTTTTATGGTGCACACTTCTCAAACAAGTGATCGTCACTCAGTAAGAATTAGAGATTTCGAAAGTCAGTCTTTACACAGCTGCATGAAGTGGACTCTCATCCAGACTGTTGTTTTCTTATATTAAAAAAAAAAATGGATGGTGAATAATTTAGTTAAATTTTATTTAATTTCTCTAAATATTTTATTTATGTAAATAAAATATTATTATTATTTGCATAATATATAGAAAATCTCCACTTTCTCCTTCTAGAATTCCTCAACTTTTGGCTTTTGAAACACAAGTAAGTCTCAAACTCTTCCCTTAGTAGTTCTTTCATTTTTTATTTGAAGTAATTTGTATACCATGTTTGCTAGTTAATTAATTTGCAAAAGTTGATTATATAAATTAAGTAAACAACAAAAAAGGCAAACAGCTGGAACAGATATTCTCAGAAGTGCCAGAAATTAAAGCAAGCCTGACTATAACAAATCAACACAAATTTTATTTATTACCTCTCGGGATCTGTTTCCTCACCTAATATGAAGAAGCTGCCCAATTTATCATGGTAAAACCATTTCATAATTATTCAAGAGTTTCTAATTTATAACCCAGGTATTTGTGGTGTATTCCAGAAGAGACTACTCCTTTGCCTACGCCAATTACATACTGTAACATATGAACCATGCTACATACTTTACTGAAAGTAACCTGAAATTGAATGTTTGCCAGTACAACACTATAATCATCACATTCTGACTTCCCCATAAGAGAAGCAACATACATATCAATCCTCACTCATTATGACAAACTTGGAAGTGTATTTACATATCTGCCCCAGGCACCTAAAATTAGTCAATAGCAGTAATAAAGCATCCATTCTCTAAGAGCTGATTTAGAACTTCTAGCATGTGGGAAGTTATAATGAAAGTAGATTACAGAAGTTCTATTCTTGAGCCAAGAAAAATCACAAAGACCTAAACACCAGAAACCACAAGAGTTTTTGTAGATCCATAGAAAAAAATAAAAATAGACATTCATAAATATAAATATTCATATACCATAAATATAAATAGAGTGAACCATTTACAATGAAGTGCCACACACATATACTTTGTCTCTCCCATTCTAAACTTTTTAAAAATTTATTTATTTATTTAATTTAATTTTTTAAATTGGGTATCAGGGATTGAACTCAGGGGCACTCAGCCACTGAGCCACATCCCAGCCSTATTTTGTATTTTTTTTAGAGACAGGGTCTCAATGAGTTGCTTAGGACCTCACCAATGCTGACTCCTCCTGACTCAGCCTCTTAAGCTGCTAGGATTGCAGGTGGGCACCACCACACCCATCTCCTCATAAGGCTTTTTAAATACCTGGAAAACTTTTTCCAGGAGATTTTAGAAATATATAACCCAATAGTTTTGTACATGCCTAGAAAATTTCTTCACCTCCTCTTTGTCTGACTTACTCATATGCAGAAATTCTTCTTGAGCCTGGTCTGGATTAAGGACCTTCTATGTGCTCCCAGATGTCCCTTAACATCTCTCAACTTTTAACTTCTCCATGGCTCTTGTCATATTGCATTGTAAGTAATGCTTAATTATTTCTGTCCTGGCATCCTGTTATGCCACAGCCCCAGTGTTCAACACCACACCCTCACAGCTAGCACAATCCCTGGTACATAATACACCTTCACCAACTATTCCAAAGATGAATAAAAAGTMCATCATAAAGGTTGGACTAGAGGGTCTCAAAGAAAAGAAAGATAGGGATTAGCTTCTAAAGAAGATGATGGAGGATGTTCCAGAAAGCAAAAATTACAGACTTCAAAATGAAGAGATGGGGGAAGTAAGTAGATTTATCTTTAAGAACAGGAAAAAAAATGAGTTAGAAGGAAAAAGATATCAGGACAATGATGAAATGTTCCAAAAAAGGCAGAAGTAAATGAAAAAACCCAAACCACAATGTTTATGCATTAATTTCAATTTCACACACCTCACCACCACCACCACCACCACCACCACTAAAACAAATGGCATTGGTAGCATTAGCCAGAACAGCATCAGTGGATGCTGAAAAGGAAAGTGACATAATTATATACATTATCAAGGAATTTCTCTTAATCTTGAAAGGCTCAAAATGAATGAGTCCTCCATATGCATTCTGAGTCATTTCTGTAAAATTTATTGAATGTATTTTTAAACTTAGATGGAACAATGGAAAACAATATGTCTAACTACATTTCCTATTTGTGTCCCCAATATTATAAAATTGAAGAAGAGAAAGGCCAAAGGAGAATATTATAAATACTATAATTCATCTTTCAGGTTGAAGGTCCTCAAAGATATGGTTATCTACCTGTTCTCCTGCCCCACACTAAACCTCTCCCATTACCTGGTCCTGCCCACCAAGAGGGCCCACCTAAAGTAACTAGCTCCTCCCATGACCTGGCTCTGATAAGGCCATATAAAATCCATACCCTTGTTGGGAACTGCCACTATTTCCATCCACCAAAGATGTGCCCCTCTGGTGCTGAATAAAGTATCACTGGTCCACAAAGTCTTCCTCCATTTTCTTTTTCTTTTGTATTTTCTTTCATATGTTTTCAGGTCCTGCCTATAAACTATATATGTTGAAGAAATTAATGTTATAGTTTAAACCTGTGTGGTCAGTTATAGAACTGACTATTGTTATTTAGTTCTGATTTTCAAGGAAGATATATGTGAAAATTTGAAGAAAATTACGAATTGTTTTTACCAAGTTCCAAACGTTGATATCACATGTTATGGAACATGGGACCCTTGGTCTGTAAAATTCCAGATCCATTTAACTTTATTCAAATCATAGACTGTAACTTCATCAAAACCATGGACAGAAAAGGAAAAATACAAGATTGGATAGAAAAGGATTAAAACACTTATAATAATAATCCTTCAATATATTATTAGAGCCAAGCATTATGGCACATACCTRTAATTCTAGCTATTCTGGGGACTGAGGCAGGATGATCACAAGTTTGAGGCTGATCTGGGCAATTCAGCAAGATTTTGCATCAAAATAAGAAGTAACAAGGGCTGTAAAATGTAAGTGAGTAGTAGAGCATCCCAGTAATGGTGGGTTGGGGGAGACAGTATTTGAACAGAAGTAAAAATATTTGCTATAGAGAGACTGGGACCAATCTTCCCCAAATCCCAATAGTTGAAGATAAATTCTATGTTAAGCTACCAGGATAGATTGTTAAGATTAAAGTTCCAAAAATTAAGCTGATGTGTTCTCTTCTCAAGTGCATCATCCAACAGTATTATTTCCTGCATTTGAGAATAAAGCAAATGTAGTTCCCATTCAGTTCTACTTTACTTGTTCAACCTGTTTCAGTCTGTTCCAGATCTACAAAGAAGCTAAGTAACAATGTTTGAAAAAATTAAATGCGATAATATTTAAATGTTCAACATTGTGTCAGACAAGTAATAGGAAACTTTCTCTATATTACCCCAATGCAAGCCTCAACCCTGTGAAACCACACCAAATGTAACAAATATGTTCAAATGTTGTGAATTTATCACAAATTTTCTGAATTAAAGCTAATTTAATAAATTTCTTTCTTGGTTAAAATAAAGCCAATGGTTTTAAAATGATGAAGTTAACCTGATATTATGAATCATATGATATTAGACTCAAGCATTTAATCATCTAGTTCTCTAGAATACATATTCTTCATTGAAATTCGAAGTACTATTGGTTATTTGTAGCCAAAAATTCCCAGGTGTAAGTTGTCTGATATTCATAGATACTAAATTGCTATAAGAACTACCAGATAGAAGATGGTTGGGTATTCCAGAAAAAGAACAAAGAATATTGTATAAAAGAATGGGTAGAGATCAATTAATATTTTCTCATGCTTATAAATACCAACCAAACATATTCTGCCTCCCTTTTCTGGATCTGGGTATTATCATCTAACCAGTTGCTCTAGGCAGAAATTTAGGATATGTTCTTGGCTTTTCCCTTACATTTCCTAAATAGTACCAAAGTCCTATCAATTCTGTGCCTCATCTGTCATCGAAGTCCATCCCTTTAACT